GAAACCTCTCATCAGTGAGCCAAAAAAAGACAGACCACAAACGGAAATAAGCAGGAAATGTAAATGTTAAGAGAAATACTGCTCATTAAAACATGAGCAGTTTAAACCATTGTGGGAAAACCGTCTACGTTAGCAAACAATAACGACAGCAATGCCACCTCTGCTAATTGCTTTATATGTCGATTTGTCAGAGAAAAACTGGATGTCACTACAAAATATGAATTTTAACTGCCTCAGTCTTCCCAGTGGGTAAGCATGCAGATTGCGTTATCAGCATTAAACAATAAATTACACGTGTGCTTTCCCTGCTATCGCGTCTCCAAATCTCTACTGAAGGCTCGCTCAGCGATGAGAGTGGGGAAGGCTTGTGAACAGAACTGTTTATTTGACTATGAGCTGTTTACAGAGATGGACGCTGTGGGGCTGAGTGACAGCATGAGAAAATACCTCTGATAATATACTGACATGCAGAGAACTCGGCAGTGAAGCTGACTCCTTGCTCAGCTCTCAGGACCTATGGACATCACTCCATAGCTAATCGGAAAAAACATTTTTAATCACGTTCCTAATTCTATTAACTCTTAAAATACCACGATCTTGACTTATCCCAGCAGGAAAAGGCCAGGTGTTTAAATAATATTAGCCGAGGCTTTGCAAGTGTAATGGCTATGAATTTGTTTTCTAACACCTCTGCCGGGTCAAAAATATCTGCTGAGAATAGGCCTATCTAACATTATCTAATATTTGCTTTTATTATTAGATACTGCAACACACAGGCCTAGAGATCGGTCAGTGAACATCTGGCAACCACTGGGGGAAAATGTATATTCCACAACTGGTGGGCAAGTGGTTGCAGGAGTTGCTGGATGTCTGTGAAATCAGCTGCTCAAGTCCAATTCACACAAGCCTAGAGACAAGTCAGTGACCCCCTGGCAACCACTGGTCGCTAGGGAAAAGTGCGTACTCCACATCCGCTTGGCGAGCAGCTGCTGGAGATTCCTGGCAGTCAGTAGCATAAAACCAGTCACAAAGAGCTGAACGGTGCTGCACTAAAAACCTCTTAGTTGACTTCTACAGTTGCCAGTAGTTTCTTCCTTGATCTCTCGGCCTGTGCGACTGAGGCCTTATGCAGATGTTTGGAAAGGTAAAGAACCACCTACTGCTTTTCAGATTTGACTGAAGGATTTATAGAATATTGTCAGTACTAAATAGTTCCATAAAAGCAACTCGTTTGCATTTTACATTGTTAGATGAGTACTAGAGAAACAAATTCATCTTCTAGATCTTCGTGGTCGTATGTAAGTCTTATAGCATCGTACTAAAAATATCATATTACATGAGACCACTTTGTTTTCTGAGAATGAAAATGTTCCACATGGAAATGTTTACTTACTCACACTCTTGGACAAGCACGTGTAGCTAAGACTTCACCATCCTTTTTGCCGCTTGTTTTTCTCTCTGCCCTTCCTGTCGCACAACAAAGTAGAGATGATGATTTAGAAATGTTTCAATCCCAGTTATAATGACAGTGAAACATTGAAACAAGTCCATCTCATGTTAACAGTTGGGCCTGCAGGTACAGAGTACCTCCTGCTGACAAAACAATGATCACCACCTGAACCTATTGTTAAACAGAGCTGAATACTGCTGCTTTTATAACCAATAAAAGTGTTCATCGGAAGAGTCTGGAAACGTAAACATTGAAAAATCTCCATTTATTGTGTTTTCTCATTCTATCAGCATCTGTTTTTAACAGGGAGAGAGATTTGTGCAGGGAAATAAAAAGTGAAACTTTACTTTTTTTTTCTCCCCACTTTCACAATAAAGTTCTAGACAGATGACAGCTGTGGACACACAGAGTGCAAGCTGCATGTTTTATCGCCTTCACCCATAAATAAAAAACGCAGAGTGGAAGAAATACAGTCAAAATATACGATTTATGGCAACGGGCACAGAAGGGAGTCTGGAGATTTCTTGGACAATATGAAAATAAAACTGCAATAAAACTGCACGGGCCTTGATTGTGGTCTATGGAGAGACATGGAGGGACTCCAGCACAACTAACTTTATTACTTCATCTAAGAGAGAGCAAGAGAAAAGGAGGCACACATCAACAGATTCAGACACTATTACAGTCAAATCCTTTACCCAAAGTGGCCACAGTCTCCATCCAAGGACCCCAGCCCCTTTTTCACCCAGCAAAAAGGGGCACAGTAGAGGACAAAACCTTCCCAATTGAGTTTACCCAGCTCTGTATTTACATAAACCTTTTACAACTTAACTTCATGGCAGGCATCATCAAGTCTTAAACTGATGGTAGTTGTATAAACATTGTGGGAAAAGAAGAATTAATGTTTTAAATAGTAAAACGGACTGCTGTTTATGTAAGTGGTTGGTAACCTTATGGTGATTGCCAACTTAACAAATAATTTACCACCATTTTCATTTCCCACAACATCACAGCACCCAACTCTGCTGCTCTAAGCATTTAAATTCACTTTGAGGGAGCCATCTTTCTCATCTGCGAGGCGGAGAGGTGAAAGGGAGACGGGAAAGCGTGCATTTTTTAAGCGATTAGAGCAACAGATAACTGGGCGCTAGGCGAAAACAGCCTGATAGTCTGCAGGCCACTGAAAGAAAATGCTCCAGACTTCCATGGAGATTTAGCAGTAAGAATCTTCTCCTTTTCCCTCTTCTCTGAAAATAGGCTATTATATGGTGTTGCATCTTTCTTGGCTGGAGCTTCGCAAAAGATGTAGGGTTTCAGAGAGCATACCGGGGGACCGGTGAAACTGGAGACAATATCAACAAATACGGTCTTGTATTTTTAGGTTGTGATTATAAAGCTCATTTCACAGTTTAATACTCCGGGGAAGCCAAACAAACATGGTTGTATAAAGAAACCAGCATCCAGTATTGGATCAAATCTCTACTGCTCCCAAATGTCCTGGACATACAAAAAGATATGCACATGCAGTATATATACTTAGCACCGGGCCTATGAAGTTCAGTGACAGATTTAAATACCACACACTGACGTACAACAGGTTCTCTTTTAGCAGAGGAGTGATTCCTGTTATTTACTTAATGCATGCTATTCTGAGGAAAACGAAGACACATAATTAATTACAGATAAACTAGATCAACACTGAATTTTTTAATGGATAATTTTCTTTTCATATTTAGACTTTTATTTGGTTTATTAAAAAGTCCGTTCAAATATCATGAAATACTCCTTTGAAAAAATATAAATAAATACGAGAAAAATAAGTGTTGCACATATCCAGTTCCTTATTTAATACTGCCAGAAAACAATTATTAATACTTTTTTTGCTCTTTTTATTGGCCTCTTCATTCATCTAATAGAAGCAATTCAGTTTGAAATGATAGTTTTACATCAGCAAAAAAACCCCAAAAAACTAGAATGCTATTTCTTTAAAACAAAAATGATTTTTTTTTTAGATCGGAAACCGTGTATAGTGCGTTAAAAAGGCATGACCATTTGATGCATTTTTTTCTGTCTGATTATCGGTACTCTGCTGGCCCCTGCTGACCAAACAGAACAGAACATTTCCATTACTGATACCTTCAGTTAAAAAAACAAAAATGTGGAAGCGGCATAGCAGATATCATGTAAAATAGGCTGTCTAGTAATAAACTGTACTTTATTAGGCTATGATACACCTAAAGGAAAACTTCGCATGCCCTCTAATTTGTTTAAATTCATCTTGTTGTATATACTCCTCTTGTCTGGCACATCTGGTGTGGAGCATGCAGTTTTGTTATATATGTACAAGATCAATAAAAGGCTATTTTATTTTATCCCAATCTATTTAACATTTGCACATTTACCTTAGCTGGTTAATATTTTATTGACTAATTATTTAATTTTGCTTTTCAAAACTGTTACAAATAGCTAAAACACACATAAGAACATGAATTTTGTGAGGAAAATGACTGTCAGCCTACCCGCTGCAGTTTTTGTAAAGTTTTTTTGTGCTTTGACCAATGGCAGCTAGTAGCTTAGAATTAAAGTAAAAAAAAAAAAGTATTAAGACATTGAAATTGATTAAATTAATATTTTTTAAAAAGCCTTAAATGACTTAAGATGTTGTATCCAGAATTGGAGAGCATTTGTTTCACTAATAGCAGTGCTCTTTTCAAACAAGCTAATTGGCTAACTTTTTGTCTTATCAGCTAGCAGTGCTAAACCAAGGTGTAAACACAATAATATTAGAGCAGTGCAATTCAAATGTTTTTATTTAAAAATAAAAATAAGACTGTGCCACAAAGCAAAACTGAGCTATTTATGGTTTGCAGTTTTTTTTTTCCTGCAGATATATCAAGAGGCCTGATTTATCCGCTAGCTTAATTAGAAGAACAAACAAAAGTGTGTTAACAAGAACTGAAAGCATATCATTGCAGGTTTAAATAAATTAGCACTTTATTGTTATTAAAGGAGATAGTGTTTCTTACCATGGCCTGGCCATCTGCATATGGAGTGTAAATGTAGGTGTAATTGTAGTGTTGAGTTTGGCCAAAAGTTTCCGTTACCACTGTAAATTACTGCTGCCTTATACATACGGAGCTTGATTGTTGATTTTTATCCATTGTCGACATCAATGCATTCTCAAGCCTTTTATTTATAGGTTTAACAATCCCACCTAGATGCCAAACACCTGAAGCTAATACTAAGTTTAAAACAAAATCCAACTCTTCAGCCTCAAACAGCTCTTTGAAGGGCTAACAACAACAACAACAATAATTTATTATTATTATTATTATTATTATTATTATTATTATTATTATTATAAAAGTGCAAATGATCGAATGCAATGCAGGTAACTATACTTACCTTTAACCTGTGTAGTTTAAGCCACCTAACAACTAAATTAGGTGGCTTAATAACTACATCTGCCCCTGGTAGGAAGCCTTTTATTTCCCTGACATGTGCATTTCACATCATCTTACATTCTTTTTAATCCGTTGACAACTACCTTCTCTCCATGTACAAAGGGACTGGTTTAAGCTCTCGCCGCACTAGAACAGGTAGCCTACAAATCCCAAAGACCATTGCGGCTATTGCGGGAAGCACAACGGCTGTCGTTTGTGCTTAACCCTCCATCATGGAAAGTCAGAGTCGCGTCTTCGCGGCGATAGTACCGGCCGGGCGGGAGCTCTCCGGTAACGAAAAAGAGCAGGGGCTGGAAGTAAGAGCGGTTAGTCGGCAGAGTCCCGGTAAGTGTCTACGGGAGGTCCAGGTGACAGGGACAGCGGAGGTTCGCTGCCAGGCGGACCGAGCATCGGTGCGGGTCAGCGTGGGCAACAGCAAGGAGTCCGTCAGCGAAGCAACCCACAGCGTTTCACGGCGACTTGGATACATTTTACAGGCTCTCAGGTGAGAAAAGAAGTTGGAGCGAAGCAGGAGCAAACTGTAAAGTTAGCTAGCTACTGTTAGCATTATGCTATTACCGGTTAAAGAGGCAGCAGCGAGAGAAGTGCGTCCGCAGATACAGCCAACTCGTTTAGGATTACCAGCAATGGAAGAAGCGATGAAAAGTTTATTAATGGTATATTTAAAAACGAGAATACAACTAGAAGAGTTTCATTTCGAATTTTAAAATAACCCCTTAAGAGGATGAGAAATAACCGTACTTATTTGTGTATTTATTGGTCCTACTGCTGTTACAGCTGCATGCAGGGGCGGAACCTGAGGGTGGCCATCACAGACTAAACCCCTGCTACCCTCCATCCTTGTATATTTGAAGTCAGTGATTTTGGCAAACTAACTTGGATTTCAGTGCTTGTAAAAACGTAAACTGCACAATTACTTCAAATTTGCAGAAGTGGCACATTAAATATGCTTGCAAAGCAATTGGTGTCCAGTAAAGCAGTGTTTTAAGTTGATACAGTTTTGTTTTGTTTATATTTCTTTTAAGGGACAGTAGCTAATTTTTCAAAGTACACGGTAATTTTTGTGACCATGTGTTTATTTTTAATCCATTCTGCTTAGACAACATGACATCAGAGAAGAAAACACTTCAGTAAGGAGGTTTCTCCACCGAGACGCAGACATGTATCGGATGGATGCAGAGGTCGAGTATTTGGACAAACACCGATGAACGTGCAGCACAGACGTGTTGAGCAGCATGTGACCGTGCTGTAATATATCTTATAGGTCATAGTGACTTTCTCAGACTTTGAGAAGATGGAGCGAATATGTAGCATCCTGCTGGAAAAGCTAGACAAGAGCGTTTCTGTGGGGACACCAGAGTTCTACCACAGTGCTGAATGCCTGAGTCAAATGAGGTATGAAAAAAAACAAAACAACACAATCGTACCTCTTTATTATTTTCATTAAATGGTGTGACCGTAACTAGCCCGTGTGTGCTGCAGGCTGCGTGCGTGTGTGTCTGCAGTTGAGAATGCTCAGCTGAAGGCCAGCAAAGTCAGTCAGCTCCTGGGACAAAGTCTGGGACCCCCTCTGCTGGTTAGAGAGGACGAAACTAAAGAGTGGAGGAACAACGAGGACAACGGTGGTGGGGGGCAGGGGTCTGCAGCCCCTTCTCACTTTCCCAGCTTACCTGCAGTCACTGCTTCCTCGCAGGTGTCCGTCTCCTTCAGCCTCAGAGACACGAGCAGGAAAATGAGATGAGAGATATAATGCTTTAAAAAAAGTAGTTTTAATTCAGCCAACACTTTCTTGAAATAAAAAATAATAATTTTATTTTGACTTTAAAAGCAATTTAAAGAATCTCAGTCTGTCAACGTTGTTTTTTTACATATTTGGTAGACACTTTAAATTATTTTGTATTTGTAAACTTCAGAGAAATAAATGTAGTAATTCAGAAGCGTAATTACATTTCTTCATCTTTGATCATTTATCTTCAGCTCCGTTAAAGGCAGGGTTCGATGGTCACTCTTAACTCCTATTTTTACTTGAGCGGGTCGATGACTCTTAAAGACGGCATTTTGTGTCCACTCGTTGGACTCCAGTAGACAAACAAAAAGAAGAACCAGGCTGAAGAAAACCACAGAAGCCAAAGGATGAAACTGTCTGTTGGCTAAGGCTTTCATACTCCAGAGTCAAAAGTCCTCGCCCTCATCATCCTCCTCGTCTTCGGGGAAGAGCTCTCTGAGCCAGGGCTGCATAACAAAGCGTTTCCCATTAAAGTGCGTGAAGTAGTTCTCCAGGGTGGGAATGTCCGGCTGGAAACATCCAACAGTAAGCCCAAGACCTATTTTAATATATAGGATTGTATGCGCTGTGATTTTCAGGACTTACCCTCATCCCTGTGATGCGCTCCAGCTGTGTCTGGGGCAAGTATGCAACTATGACAGAGGAGGGTCCAGGTCCTCCAAAGATCACCTTGTAATGAGGTGTCTTTTCTGCTCTTGTGTCCTATATGAACACACGCTTCCGTTACTAACACTTAAATGATATATTACCAATAAATGATCAGAGGAAGTAAAGGAGGCTACTGACATCCGAGCCGGAGTACATTCTGTCAACCCATTCTGGAGGAGCTCGCAGTTCAGGGTCCCAGCTCACCACTACTCCAACCATGTGGCCTTTTGTCTCCAACACCACCTCTCCGACCCGCAGAAACACATACGGGGGACGAGGGCTGCGCGCCGTCTTGGATGCTGATGTGACAAAGACAGAAGAGATTACAGAACTGACATGACATGCATGAATAAGATCTGTTTTTAATGAAAAACCACGATCAGATTTCCTTCTGTGTCTTTCTAGAAAGCTCTGCTCTTGCCAGGCAATAAAACTAAAATCCCATGATAATTTCTAATATGACCTCGGTAGGTTTTCTGAGTGCACAGGCTGTGATCAGCTAAACTGCTGCTCTTTGTGGATTTACACAACTGAATTCACCAAGACGTCAGCAGATGTTTCACAGCTATCCTGGCCGATATACATTCCCTACACTGTTTATAGTATCTTTGCATTAGACAGTTGGTATAAAGTTGGAATTCAGTGAATGAATCTAAGCATCATAGTCTTAAATGCAAATTCTCCGCTACACTTCATTCTTTTTTTCTCTCCTTGCAAATACAGAAGCTGGACCCATAGATAGCAACACATCGTGAGACAAACTGCACACAAACAGTTTGTGTGTTTGCTGATGTTTGTCGAGCTGATAGAAACGTTGAATTTGAAATTGCCTGCCACTTAAAAAAACATCACTCCCATTCATGCTTCCTCCCATCTGTAGAGCTGTCTAGATGCTGAAGTACCGCAAACACAACATACGGATACAAGCACACTCCGACTTTAAATCCTGAGCATAAATGCTATAAACGATACTGTTGAACCAAATGTAAGGAATAAAAAGTACAGATTTTTGGAAGTAAAAGCTGTCAGAAAAACAAATACTAATAAGGTGATTGCCAAAGTGCTTAGCTAAAAACCTGTTATATCCCAACATGGTGTGGAGTGATTCTTAGGGCAAAAGAAACGACAGGCCTTAAAAAAATACCTACAGCAATCCAAAGTCAAGAAACGGAGGAAAATGCTGCAAAAACCTGACACTGGGCCTGAGAGCTGCATCTTCAGCTGATCCACCGAATGCCATGGTTTGGGGCTGCATTTCATACAGTGATGTTGGGGATCTTGTCTTACTAATGGACTTACAAACAGAGCAATGTACCATCATCATCATTATATTTTGATCCACCATAGAGTAGCATCTGGAAAATGTGTGACTGGCAACAGCTTTAATTCATCAGAATGACCCCAAACACACAGCCAATGCAGTAAAAGCACACCGGGATAGAAAAACCGTGGAACACCATCAGTCATGGATCGGCCTCCCCAGAGCCTGAACCTCAACATTACTGTGGGATCATCTTGACAGAGAATAGAACAAAAGGGCAGCCAACATCCAAAGAAGAGCTTTGAATGTCCTTCAAGAAGCCTGGAGAACTATTCCTGAAGACTACTTAAAGAAATAACAAGAAAGCTTGGCTAAAAGAGTTCAGGCTGTGTGTTGAAGAATAAAATATTGATTTTCAAGCTTTTTAGGATCATACAAACTCTTGTCCTCATATACTGTATTTCCATGTGTGTTTCACTGCATCTGTTTCCTATTTTCCTTGCAAAATATAAAGATATCAGGGATGGTTCAAGACTTTTGCACATTACTATAAATGTAGTGCTTTTCAAAGTGCAATAGTTCAGGAGGACATGTAAAATTAGAATTAAACATCCATTAGTTTTTGGTAATTAATTGCACTCGATGGGGAAGGTGAAATTTCACATTAACCTATGAGAATGAGGATATGGACAGACTGTATCACATATGGCTGGTTAAAAATGCTTCAGTATAGCAGAGCTATAGACACAAACCTCCAAAGAATCCCAGGTCATTGTCAAAAAGCATGGTCTCCACGGGAGGTGGCCCTTGTCCCGCTTGATCTTCCTGTCCCAATCCAACCAGAGACCTTCAGGAAACAAACACATCACCAGTCTCTAAATACAACTCATGTGTTTCCATAAAAACACCAGAAATCACTTTTGAGGTGTGTGGGATTTGAATATGAAACAAGATTATGCAAATAACTGTAGCCTCAGATCCCGAGTGATGATTCAGGTTAAATTCAGTCCTCATTTAATGCCATTCAACTCAAACACTCACATGGCTTTGGACATCTGCTGGGTTGTCCAGTCTGACCATGCAGTGACATTCATGTATGATTTTCTCCATTCTCTCCATATTCGAAGCAATCTGAAACCAAAAGTGTTCTTTTTATTAGTAAAGCAGAAAGAAAACGGCCACAACAGTCCTTAGTCTGGTAAGGCCCACTTTATCTAATAGTTCACATAAAAGGTTACCCTGGGTCATTCACATCCAGCCAACTAAAGGCGTTTTTCCCCTTTTTGCAAACTTCGATGCGGTAAATAAAAGCCGGGTTTTGGCGCACTGATCTCACCGCGTGGTCGCATGGTAGCGCTGCGCCGCCGAGGAGCCGCTCCACCTGGAGATGAAGTACTGCGCGGGCACGGCGGAGAGCAGCAGCGCGATCTGCAGCACCGCAGAGGCCCTGAGCACAGGCATGACCGCACAGCTGGCACCTGCCCGGAAACCAAAAGTACATGCACGAAAGTGAGCGCCAAAATTAACCTAGGCGATAGCTATATATATATAAAAAAAAAATAAATATAGGAGGTTTAAGTTTGTTGAGCGTAGGACACGTGACCCCGCAGGTAGGTCAAACCAGGTAACCGCGAAAGCTCTTTACTAATTCTAATTGTGACACTTACCTCTTGTTAAGCTCTAAAGTCTTCCCTCCGATTGCGTGTCGAACATTGCGTTTGAGTGAGTCTGCTGCGCGTGGAAACCAGAACACAGCGGCGCGGTTTCACTTCTGTTTTATTTACATAAACCACACTCCGGCCCATGTCGCCTCCAGCCACCTGTGTATTTACATTTTTGGAAAAATTGCCAAACAGGTATTCTAACCAATAGCCGCAGCCCACGGAGTACCCAAGGACCTTTAGCGGCTCGCCACGTCAGGAAGAGCCGGAGGTGTGGGAAGTGATTTTTGTGCACTTACCGTTTCCAACGCTAGGTGGGAGTGTTGTTCATTCTTCTGCACCTCATTTCCCACCTGCAGCTCGAGCGTCAATGGAATAGTGTTTTTTCATTATCATTATTATTATTTTATCTTTATACAACAAAGAAGCAACAAGCATTAAAAGTGAATATGGAAACACAACTTTTTATTCACTTAAAATATTGGTATGAACTAACAGGACAGCAGTACTCCCCTACACATACATTCTAGCCTTATGCTTATTTTTTTGCATTAATTCCTTTATATATATATTTATATTAAAAAAAAAAGTATCCAAACTAACAAAGACGACCTCATCAATTCACATGAAAAAGACCCCTTCCCCTCCTCTTCTGAAAACATACCCAAAATTCTTCCTGGTGGCTAACATGAAGCCCCTTCTCTCTCTCTCTCTCTCTCTC